GAAAAGAAACAAAAGAAATTATCCAGTAGAGGTATAAATCTAACTGGACAACAGTGGTGTCTAAACAGGTGCTCATTCTTCTGACTTGGTGAGATGTGTGTAAAAAAAATAATAACAGTAAAAAAAAAAACAGGTGCTCAATAAATGAGATGAATGGATGGACAAATAAAACTTTCAAGAGACATGTATATAGCTCATCCTTCTAACAGCACTTTAAAATGGCTGGTCTAGGCTGGGCGCAGTGGCTCACACCTGTAATCCCAGCACTTTGAGAGGCTGAGGTGAGAGGATCACTTGAGGCCAGGAGTTCGAGACCAGTCTGGGCAACACAGTGAGACTCCATCTCTGTACAATAAATAAAAAAAGTTAGCCAGGCGTGGTGGCACCACCTGTAGTTCCAGCTATTTAGGAGGCTGAGGAAGGAGGATCTCTTGAGCCCAGGAAGCAAGACCCTGTCTCTAAAAAAAAAAAGTCTTACTCTGTTGCCCGGGCTAGAGTGCCGTGGTGTCAGCCTAGCTCACAGCAACCTCAAACTCCTAGGCTCGAGCAATCCTCCTGCCTCAGCCTCCCGAGTAGCTGGGACTACAGGCATGCACCACCATGACCAGCTAATTTTCTATATATTTTCAGATGTCCAGGTCATTTCTTTCTATTTTTAGTAGAGACGGGGTCTCGCTCTTGCTTAGGCTGGTCTTGAACTCCTGAGCTCAAATGATCCGCCTGTCTCGGCCTTCCAGAGTGCTAGGATTACAGGCGTGAGCCACCGCGCCCGGGCTGAATACTTATATATTTAAAGCATATAAGTATTATTTTCTTTTTATTAATATGTTTGAAATGCTTAATCCTGCAGCTTACTCTTGAGAGCATAAATAATTCAGGTAAAGAAGCACACATTTAATAGTACCGTTTTTATTTTCAGTCAACACTTTTAACCCCTCTAATTATTGACAAAAGCACTTTGAGCTCTTTTTTTTCACTGTTTTGATTAATTTGTATCTGTGGCCCAGATACTTACATGGGAGAAGCTGACCAAAGTGAAACTGCTATTACCGGCTTTCGTACAATACAAAGACACCTAGTTTATACACGGAGATCAAATTCTTCACCCAAGAGCAAGGGGTCAGTAAACTATAACTTGTGTGCTGCAGCGTGGGAGGATCCCTTGATCCCAGGAGTTCCAGGTTGCAGTGAGCTATAATTGCAACACTGCACTCCAGCCTGGGCAATGCAGGCCCTTTCTTTTTTAGAGAAGTAGTTTCCTTCCCTAAAAGCAACCAGTGTTTGCCATTTATACATCTTGCAGATATACACAAAGTTTTTGAAAAGAAATGCTAATATGTTTGAATAAAAATTAACAATTCAGAAACCAGGTTTGCTTCAGGAACAGACAAATTTCAGTCAAACTTCAAGTTCGGGGGAAATTATGGCTGATACTCAGTTTAGCCACAATAATTTGATAACTAAAATGAGTTAACACTGGTTTTAATGTAGGGAAATTAAGCACTGAACAGAAAATAGATGCAAGGATCTGCATATAAAATCAAGAGTGGCTTAAAAAATACATAAAATGATATATTTGTATGGTAGATAAGATTCAACAAGCCATTATTTTCTCCAGGAAGCCTTCCTTAATTCTTCAGTTATGTGCCCTCCCATGTGTTCTCATAGCACCCTACATTTTCCCTAATATGGTACTTACCATGCTATACTATAAATGTTTACTTACTTGTATGTACACAACCCCTCTACATTATAAGATTAACAAGGGCAGAAATAACATCTTTGCCTTATAACTGCATCCCTAATATCTAATATAATGGTAAGCATATAGTAGGCACTCAATAAATACTTACAAAAAGAATTAAAAAAGAAGAAATCACATGGTAGAAGTTCAAAAACAACCTATACATTCAGTATTACTGCCTAAAATTTACAAAATAAAATCTATATAAGTTTGATCATATAACACTTTTATTTCACATTTTAATTACAGTTTAGTATTCTGGTTTATAAACCTTGGTTCGGGGTGGTTATGTACACATATGTATGTGTTATCCATTTGGTTTATTTAAGGGTTTCTTGCAAAAAAAAGGTTTGAAAATCACTGATTTAGAAGATCAGCATATTATGTAGCAGCGAGGCTAGAATTTTCTTCTTTTGGCATACGAGTATCTCTATAACATACTGTGTAAAAACTCAGAAAAACTACTAAATAACCCAATTACTTGCCAGTAACCTCATTTATCTGATAATCCATTCCTGACAGCAGGTACCAAGATATTTTTCTTATGACACCATTTGGAGTACTAGAAATAATTTTTAATTCAAAAACTTTCCAAAGGACATGACATATGGGAGGAACAAATGCATCCATGTATCCTGAAATCAATAGGAAACATAAAGTCCAGTTCTCTAGTTCCTAACCCAGCGTTAGGTCAAGAAGGAAACTATCTGAGGAAACTTCCCCTAATTCTTAACACCATGCTGCAGAGAAAAGAAATATAGACAGTTGTCAGACACAAGGTGTCTTTGAAAAAACAAGTTTTGATAAGTAACTTAGGTTTCTCTAAAGATGAAAATAAACCATCCTTCACAGTTAATATATCCATGGTTATCTATTTATGGCAGAGTAGGATGAAGTAAAGTTTTCTCCAAAGTAAGGGGCAGAAGAAAGATAACTGACTGCCCTAAAGACTCCCAGAAAAAGATTCTTAAGAAATTCATACTAGTATCATCCTGCTTTTGACTATATAGCAACTTCTAACAAGAACCCAGTTTCCTCTTAACCCAATAAATCAAGTCAAAAATAGTGGTTTTCCATCCAAATGGTGGTGGTGGTGGTGAAAACAAAATCACTGCCTTATAAATGTATAATAACTTACATATGTTGAATAATTTAAATAATACATCAATCCTGGAAAATTATCAGGGCTAGTATTTTAATGCTTATTTTATAGATAATTCTACATTAACACATAGGATAAAGAGAAAGACTTGTTCAAAATCACACTGGTAGGAAGCAGCACAGATGGGAAGAATAGAAATACGGTCTTTTGCTTCCTAGTCCAGAGCTCACAATATAATATCATTTGTGATCTAAAGTATAAAATTCTAGATATAGGGGCATAAAATAAAACCAAGCCCCCTTTTAAATATATTATGTTACTAAATCTGCTAATATAGAAGAGCATTAAAAATAAGAGAGACTTTGCTAGTAGATTTGGATTTGTATTTCAACTCTACTACTTACTGGTTTTTGGCTTTTGACACTGAGATTCATTTTTCCAATCTATAAAAAGCAGCAAAATACCAACTACACAACAGGGTTTTAAAAAGTTAAATGTGTAATTCACATGAATTATGTACAAAGGAGGCTCTAATCTTAGCCGTTGTTAGCAAGCAATAAATGTTAGATTATTTTCCTTCTTCAACTAACAAGAAGTTAGGATCCTAGTATCTAGAATGACTCCATCAAAAAAGTCTCTGGACATGGAACCCTATAAAGTTCCTCAGCTGAGATTGAGATCTCTGAGTTAGGCAGAAACCTCAATCTTTACTAATTTAAATTATTTCCTCAAGTCCTGCCTACAGTTATGAAAGACAAAATATTCAATTTCCTACCCTCTCCTTCCCCTCCTTTTTCTTAAAGTAAAAGACATAGCTAAGGAAAAGGGGTATTTTTTAAAGGGAAAATAAAGATAAGTAGACAATAAAGGCAGAGAGAGTGAATGATTACTTGGGAATAGGGTCCAGCTGAAAAGAGATGGCTCACCAAAGTAGTAGGAAAAAATCCAGAGGTAATAAAAAAACCTAATTAATCTCTCAAATCCTAGGCAAAAGGTACACAGAAAGGTGAGACCCAGCCCATAAAGTTATACAATCTTCTTAACAGTAGTTTACTGCAGACCCAGATGTTAATATGCTAAAAGAAAGCCTTGTTCTGAGTAAAGACAAACACAAGAATGACTTGTTTCCCTAGGAAAGAAATCGCCATCATTTCTTCAATTATAATGATAAGAAGAGAAATGAGTTACTTTTCTAGGAATCTTGGACATACTAAATACAAAAGAAAAAAGTTCATGAAGTTAAGGAGATGAGAAAAATATCCAGGAGAGTCACTTAAAAAACTAAATGATCCATGACGGTTCTTTCTTAAAGAAAGAATAGACGGGCTATCTCCTTTATCCCTTTTTATTTACCTTATGCAAGAGGGTCTGAAAATACAAAGAAACTGTTAAGGATAAGAAGCTAAAGATTAAAGGTTCATGTGGGTTTTTCATTCTCTCTGTAGACTAGAAACACATGCTTCTCCCTTACGTCATGTCTTATCTAAATAGCAACTCAAGAATACCAAATGGCATAATAAGAGATATACCTACCAACTCTCAGGGATGACTCAAATCCATCTCTATCGAAACAGCTGAGACTCTACTTCTTCATATAACTTTGAACTGCCACCAGTGTAAAGGGTACTATTTCTTACACTGGGAAGAAGGACAGGAAAGGACAATAGGCAAATTAATGAATTACATATGGTTCCAATTTCAAAGTAGTCATTTGTTTCAAATTAAACATTGTTTGATTGAGGCCACTAGTCCCCATCAGCAAAAGAACATGAGTTTAAATGTTCATAATCGCAACTAGGACTCAGTCTCTTTCATATCATAACCACCTATAACTAACAAAAAAAAAGTATTACTTAAATTAACATATTATGTTCTTCACAAGAAAACATAAGGAGAATTCAAATTCATTAGTATGCTATTGTTCTTCCCAACTATAGACAAGTCATCTATAAATGCCTACAAAAGTCAAGTAAGACCAAAACTCCAAAGTATAGGTATATTACTTCTTTAAAGGAAAGTATAGATAACTTTTCCAAATTTCTATAATATATATCTCTTATGCCGATCTCAATCTGTAATACATTAATGTTAAAATGAACATTATCAATCTGTTAGCAGGAATGGGGAAAGAGGAAAATAAACTATTAGACATACCCTATGTAATATTTCTAAAACCTTTAATGCAGTATGAAGAAAACTGTTGAAAATTCTTCTTTCAGAAGGGGGAATGCCGATCTTGTAGAGTTTCAAAAGATGTACCACAACTTCCTTAAAAAGTTCTACTATCTTGAGGAATAGCGGAGGTTCAAGTACTGACCACCAGTTTTCTGTTATTAAAGGGTGAACATGCAAATAAAATGAATTTTTTAAAAAAGTCACAATTTTCAAAATCATACTGACTTTATTCTAAAGCAGTGATTCTTAACCTTCTGAAAAATCCCAGACAGATGCACATTAATATTTTATGTAACATTTTTAGGGTTCATAGACCCCACAAACCCCCAGACCAAGTTAAAGAATACTATCCTAAAAGATCTCAAAAGCAAAAATAAAGTATGAAAGGCCTATTGAATTTATATTCTTGGTTTCCTAAATTATATTAAAAATTCACCATTATACCTAATATTAAAACCAGTTATTTAAAAATGTTTTAGAAATTAGAACTTTTAATTTTCAAACAAATCACATTTTAAAACTGTATTGCTCTAATATTTAAGGATTTTTCCAAGTTGTGTCTTTCAATTTAATATATAGGTGAAATACTGTGAAACACCACCTTTAAAATGCAAGCTTCAAACATAGAAGCTGAACAATAAAGTGTAACGTATCTGTCCTTCCCCACATTCACTATTTGTTACTATGAACACTGTAATCCTATGAAGCCGGTAGAAAGACTAAAAAAACATCTGACAAGAAGGAAGCAATACTCTTGTAAGTCCCTGCTTCGCTCTTTCATTTCCCTCAGATTCCAGCATTCTACCCCTTGCTGTTGCTTCCTCTATTCACCCTCAGCCTTACAGTACTTGTACTGATTTTATTATTTCTATATATCTTAGCTCCACATATCCAATAAATACTTTTATAAAGGAAAGCACTGGGTTAAATGTAGTAAGCAAACTACAGAGATGCAATCCATACAATTAGAAAAATTTAGGTGAGAAAAGTTTAGGCCAAAAAACCAGAGCAATAAAGACAGAACTGTAAGATCAGATGAGCAGTAAAATCTCGTCTACAGGCAGAGTAATGAAACCAAACATCAGAAAATTAGCAAGTAAAGGAAAAAGGTTGACATCAGGGTTAAAGGAAGATTTAAAACTCATGTTTGTTCAGTTTTAATTGCTCCTCCTCCTTTCATAGCAAGATTACTCTAAAGGCAATGAGGGAGAAGAATATGGACTAACAGCTTTTATCTTTCCTAACATTGTCTCTGCTGTTATGTTTGATTAAACTTCTATATCTAACATGCTTTGCCTTCAGCAACTCCACCACCTACAATCAAATGAGTAGAGGAAAGCAACAAAAAGAAAAACAGATTATTTTTCCTGAAGACAATGACAAATAAGCAGGGCAGCAAAATTTCAAACAGCAAAAAAGTAAGAACTTATGAGTATTTTCATTTAAAAAGTTTTGAAAGAAGATATTAAAACTCTTACCAAGTACTTTCAGTGGTGCTTTTTCTAGGTTCACAAGAGCTGTACCAAAGGGAATTGCTATTGTTGTGAAATTGTTGGAGTCACTCATCAGGGGACATTCTGGCAGAGTAAGATAAAACCTCAATGCTTCAACATCAGGTAAGGAGCTAGTCAGTTTAGGAATAAGATTCTTTTCCAAACTAGCTGCCACCTATATTTTGACAAAAAGTAAAACCTACTTCATTTAAAATGAATGCACTTTCAGGAAAAAAAAAAAAAAAGAAAGGAAGGAAGAAAAGAAAGAAAAACTCTTGTACTATAGCAAACATGAAATGGTGAAGAAAAAAAAAGATAATCTCTTACAATGAATATATTCTGGAACATAATGAAAATTAATACCTAAGCTTTGCTAAGAGAATTCAGAAAATCTTGTGTGCAAGTCTCAATTTAAACTCTCTACCTCTATATGCAGATTTAACCAACATGGTAATATTAAGTAATTCAGAGTCTGCTACAAACATCTGAAAAGATTTATGGACCTTTGAAAGCGAAATTATAAAGGCTTTAAAAACAAAACCTTATTTTAATTCTTTATTGGTGTATTTAATACAACTACCCAAATTACATCATAATGAAGAGTCTGTGAAATTGCAAAGTTCATTAAGCTACAAACTTATAAAACATTTAACAAAACACTCACAGATAATAATGTAAATGTAAAATACTTTAAAAACAAACCTGCTGAGATATATGTGGATGATCAGGTTGTATAAGTTTGTGGAATAAAAGCCTAGCAGTATTCATATCAACCCCTGAAAATCTGGTGCCTGTTCTATAGTGATCATCATTGCTTTAAAAATAAAAAAAGAAAAGAAAAGAAAATGTTAAAATTATTTCATTGTGAGCTCAGGTGGGCAGGGTCATTTGCTCATTTCACTGATGTACTCCAAGTCTCAGCAGAGCGTATAGCATGTTATAGGAACTCGATACT